TTCGTTTGGTGCACAGCGCCCTCATTTCGCCCTTTATGGCCCACGTCGGCATCAACATCCACATCGACGTCAACGTCCATATCCATATCTAGGTCCTGGTCTGGGTCTAAGTGCCGGTCTCGGTCCCGGTCCCGGTCCCGGTCCCTCTCCCGGTCTCTCATTGCCGCAGCCTCTGCACACAAATTGAGCTACAAAGTGGTTTTGGCTACCCCAAAAATGGAACGTTTATTAACTAGTTATGCCAAAATGTGACAGTTGCCAAACAACCCAAGTGGCAAGCGGCCGACAAACCGTCCGACCAACCATTCAGCCAAACAAACAAGCCCAGTCCAAAAGCAACAATAACATCAGTAGCAGCAACAACAGGAACAGGAACAGGAACGAACAAACAGGGAACGTGTGTTCGCTAATCAACCCTTGTCAGTCAATCAGCCATGGACATGGACACGGACATGGACATGGAGATACACATTTATATCCTTTGCCGGCGAAGCGCTTTCAATGAACTGCAAAATATCTAATTCGCTTCTATTTTATTCAGTTTTGTCAGCAAAGCAAACATAAAGCAGCATCCGCACTGACATATGTAAACCTTGAGCTTCAGTCTCTGCTTCTGCCTCACCCAATAGGGGAGGGGTCCCCCTCACCACCCTCCGCCCCACCATCACTCACAACATATGCACACAAAGCCCAAACTGTTTAATACCGCTGATCGCTGTCATGATGAAACTCATTTGGTTGTATGCACAAGTTCTTCCAAGCATTACAGAGGAGCATGAAACTGGTCCAGAGGACTGAGCACTATGGACTGAGGATTCTGGAGGTTGATGAAGATGATGATGATGATGATGATGAAAGTGTGTTCAATTGCCGGGAAACTCTTTGGTTTCCGTCTCATTGCTGTCCAAACACACGGGCGTTAGGGCTGACAGCAGATGTGGGAATGGGGCTGGAATGGGGCTGGAATGGGGCTCGAGAGCTACTTTTCAACCTCGATTGAGTGTATTGAAAAGGACTTTGGCGTGTCAATCTGTTGGCAGGCGCCACACGCTCACTGACTGAGAGGCTGACTGAAGTGTTCCGATTTAGGCCCAGCCCCAACCCACACAACTGCCCAGCTATGGTAACCGCAAAAGCCTGTTAGGCGACTACAACATGTCCTTCATGTCTTCAATATGTGCCACTCGATGTAACTGTGGTCGTAAATGTGTGTGGCTGTGTGTTCATTTCCGCTTTTGTGAGCATTCATTATGCGCACATTATGGATTGGTTCATCTTGTTGATCGGCGGCACAAAAAGACCTTCAGAGTAGCCAGGAGCTGCAACACTACTTGTATAAGCTATAACTAGGCCACCCTCTATGGATACACAAATCGAATTATCAACAGCAATGCAGCATGCAAATTGACTCTGCCACACACACACACACCCACACACACCCACACACACGCGCACACACACAGAAGCATTCACACCCACATATGCCACTCACAGGGCCCTCAAGGCCCACACAGATGCAGACATATGAGCGCTAATTCCGTTAGGCAAGCGTCACTTAGGAGCCGTCAAGTTGGCGCGCGCCCAATACGCATCAGAAGCGCGCATGTCAATCAAAGCGACCAACAACAATGCAACTCAAGGCCCAGTTCCCCGAGTGCCTGCTCGGACAACTGGCAGCAGTTGGCGGCAGACGACTTAATTGAATTGTTTAACACCAGAATGGCCAGATCAGATTTGCATGAGCAATTGAATGACATACAACAGAATTGAAAATGCAAATGCAAGAAGGACTTACATATACTAAGTGCTTAACACCACAGTTTCCATTCGACTCTAATAAAGACAGGCGAACTTCAGATCTCTATTATTTACTTTACGTGCCAGCAAGCAAATACACCTAATCCTATTTTTACAAGGTAGATTGGTTCCAGAAACAACCGTATAAAACAAGACATTGATCATATGCAAAAATAGTTGATTGGTTCCTTATCTCTAAAGAAATACAAGTATTTATGCAATTTTTGATTTTCAAACCGTGTTACATCAAAATCGTGTAAAAAGAGAATTAGGTGTAGTCCTAAATCACAGATTTTGTAAAAAGAAGAGCCACAACAACGACCTCTTCGAATAACAATTGTTATACATCTAATAACATATTAAATGAATCATATTGGACATTTAGTCCCCTTGGTGAGATCTGAAGTGCGTTTATCAGCTCCTCTATTTTATGGGTCAGAGAGCGCGTCTTAAATCGTAACGAAGGATTTTTGGTTAAGGCACCACAAAAATTACGCAACTAGGACCCAAAGCCATTGCATAGTATTGAAATTCCTCGTGACATTGTGCTAAAGAGATCTGGACCCTACCTTTTTGTCCGCAATAATCTCGAATTAGGTACCTTTAGATTTGCATTAGTTATTTGACGACAAAAAGAACGGACTAGTCCTCAAAATAATTTATAATCATTCGATTATTAATCGGGTCTTTATTTTTAGTTCTGTAATAAAGATACTAGACATTCAAATATGTGTACGCATTTTCCTACTATTTGACGTCTTCATTTCTTCAGAAACATTCCAATAGCCCAATTTTTCATATATTTAGCAGAACAAACTATATATAATACGTGCTTCCAGTCTTCTAATTCTGCACTATTTAGTTATGTTGCTTAATACTCTGGGGAGGTTTTTTCTAGAAGTGTCAAAATAAGAGCGGACTTAAAACTATGTTTTCATACTTGTACATTATTCAAATCATTGATCAATTACGTGTGCACCTAATTCTGTTTTTACACGGTAGATTGGTTCCAGGAAGAGTGTTGTAAAAAAACCCGTGTAAAAAATTCATTGATCATATGTTATTTTGAATCGTGCTTAATGGATAAAAGTCGGGCAACCATATATAAAATTTTTAATTTTCAAACCATGTTAAATGAAAACCGTGTAAAAAAAGACCGCGTAAAAACAGAATTAGGTGTATATACTTGTTGTACAAAATTATTATAACATTTCAACAAAACACAAAGAAGAAGTCTTTTAGAGGATTTTTTTTTTGAAGTGGAAGACAGGAGCTCTTGGAACGTACCTGGCCGAGAGACTTGAGTGGTTCTACAGGCATTTATTTTTTAACGCACTAAGCTCTCGGGCGAGATACGCATATAAGTTTGGTCGAAATATGCCCGAAATCATTTCAGACCTAATTTCTGGCATGGCTGCACGTGTTTGGGGGGATTAAAGAGAAATCGGTTGCTAGGTCGGCATTAGCTTTATTCCGGAATAGAAAACAAGAGAGAACGCTACAGTCGAGCAAGCCCGACAGTGTAATACCCTGTACCCAGGTAAACTTCCGTCACTGAGTTATATGCGCCCATAGCAGCAGCAAAAAGAGGAAGAAGAAGAGCGAACTTGTTGCTGCAGTTTGGGGGGGTTGTACTGGCGAGGATTTGTTTTGCTAATAACTTTTCTTAAAATTGACCGAATTGAATAAAATTTTATACAACAGTAGACAATTGTATATTAATTATGTGTGCAAAGTTTGGTTTAGGTAGCATTTGAAATGTGGACGCTATTGACGAAATTCTGTAGCGGGGGAAGGGGGGGAAAATTAAAAAAAAAAACATAAACTCGTCCTTACTCGGACCTAGGAGAATCTGGATGCCAACTTTGGTTATTCTAGCTTTTATAGTTTCTGAGATCCTCGCGTTCATCCAGACGGACGGACAGACGGACAGACGGACAGACGGACAGACGGACGGACATGTCTAGATCGATTTCTCTCGTCATGCTGATTCAGAATATATATACTTTATGGGGTCGGAGATGCTTCCTTCTGTATGTTACATACTTTGCACAAACCTAATATACCCTTTTTACCCTACGGGTACAGGGTATAAAAACGAAGTAAATATAAAAGAATAAGATAGAACGCTACAGTCGAGCAAGCCCTACATTAAAATAGCCTGTACTCTCCACAAAAAGGACAAATTTAAAAAAAAAAAATTAAAAAAAAATTAAATTATTAAAAAAATGAATGAATTAATTAATTAAAATAATTAATTAAATTAAATTAGAATACATGTTTATGTTCAGTTTAAACAGCATACATTTACAGCACGTACCTATGCGTGTTTATATGCGTGTATGTATGCAGCACAAAGTTAAACCAAAGCAGCAACAACAACAACAGCTGCGGGCAGCGCTGCCGACAGAGCTGCAGGCAGCGCATGAGCAGCGATTTTACTTATGGCTATAACTTTCTTCAGAATTGACCTATCATGATGAAATTTGGCACACGGACACATTAGTACTAACTGGATGTACCTACCAAAATTGATTTTGAAATTCCGAGAATTACGGAAGTTATATGAAAAAATACGAATTGCGGGGGAGTGGGGGGGTGTATCAGAAAAAATAAACAAACTCGTTCTGCCTAGGGCTTATAGGAACCTTGATACCAATTTTGGTTATCCTAGCTCTTGTACTTACTGAGATCCTTGCGCTCATATAGACAGACGGACAGACGGTCAGACGGACAGACGGACATGGCTATATCGACTCGTCTTCTCATCCTGATCAAGAATATATATACTTTGTGGGGTCTGCCACGCCTCCTTCTGTGTGTTACATACATGCGCACAAAACTAGTATAGCCTTTCACCCTTTGGGTACAGGCTATAAAAAGTCAGTCATAAATATCTTATAAGCATCGTTTTATTTTTATGCAAGAACGTGAATTATAAAACCGTTTTTATTGAAATGCCTTCGATAAATATTTGTTTTAATTCGGGGGCCTTTAAGAGAAATCGTTTGCTAGGTCGGCATTAGCTTTATTAAGGCATAACTTCTGTAATATAAATAAAATGTAAGTAATATCTAATAAGCTTAGTTTTATTTTCATAGATTTAAATGCCTCTTTCATTTAGTCTTTCTATAAATATTTCATATAGTTCAATAGGTATTCCCATCCAACAAGAGATAATACAAGTATAACCAGCACATGGGTATACTTCCACATATTAAACTGTAAATTTATTTTAGTTTGCTTTTAACTTTAGCTTCAGAAAGGAAGGAAAACAAAATGAAGTGAATGATATAGAGTATCTAAGGGACACGTACGCAATTAGTAGCGCACTCCTAGAAACTCGTACAGCGGCAGCTCTGTATTAGAGTCCTCAAGGGAGACTAACTCAAGGTCACTACAATCCTTCAAGTAAACAGGGAACGGCAGCTTGGGATAGTTCTGGTAGAATTCTAGAAGTATAGAAGTGCTGCGCAGATGCGTAATGCCTTTGAAGAGCTTCTGGCGCGTCAGCAACTCCTCGGGGAAGACGGTCTCAATGAAGGTGTCAGTGCTGCGCTTCATCCAGGGTCGCTCCTTCATTGGCACGGTGCGTCCGAAGGCGCTGAGCATTGGCTTCTCACACACCCGTGTGGCATGATCGTTGATATGCTTCTCGTATTTAAGCTCAATGGCCATCTGTGAAGTTTGGTTAGATTTGGTCAATATTACAATGCTAGGAGTCTATGGACTGGAATGTCTCACTTCTGGCTTGTTCCATTTCTGGGCCACGGTGGCCGCTATGGCATTCACCTCCTTTGGATCGGTCTTGATCGAAGCTAGAAGCGTGCGGTCGCCCTTGATGTCGAACAAGCTCTTTATCTTTTTCGGCGTCATTCCAGTGTCCAGAGTTCCGATGCTGTTGAGCCACTCCACAAAGCGTTCCGCGGACTTAGATGTGTCACGGAGAAATATGACCTCGAAATTTAGGGCTATACGAATAGAGAAACTTACCGCATCCATCAGCTTCTCCGCCTCCTCATCGAGCTTGACTGACGCCTTAGTCTTGGCAGTTTGCACGCGCGACTTCCACTTAACGCGCTTGTGACGCGGTGCGCATAAAAACTTGGCCATCCAGCTTCTCGAGTCCACGACGCGGTGTGTGTGGCCTACCGGGTCGTCTAACTTCAGCTCGAACTTTTCAAACTCGTGATCCAAGCGGACGATCTCGGAGTGCTCGCTCTCACTGAAATGTTCCTCCACTTTCTTGCGGCCTGCTTCCAGTATCTGCGGGCATACAATTCATCTGAGCTCAATGACTACAAGTATTCCGGAGATTTTGTTACACCTACCAGTGTTGCCTCGTCCATTATTTCAGGCTCCTCAGTCTCGGACTCGCTGAAGGTCATGTAGTCCAGCGGACGCTCCTCGCGCATTTCTTCGCGAATGTAAATGTCGTCGTCAGACCTGTCGTAGCGATATTTCTGTATTTTCTTGACCCGATCGCGCAACTCAGCTGGCAGCACCACCGAGTAGTCTTTTATCGGTATGGGCGGCAGAGTTTTGCAGTGCACCACAAACTCAACCTCCTCGATCACATCCTGCCAGAACTTTTTGCCCGTAAGGCCCTCACGCGAGTGCATGAACGAGAACTGGCTGATGCTCTGCTGCTTTTTTGGGAGCAGCTTCGGCTTCACTTCATGGGGTGGTGGCTGTGGTGCACGTCTGGTCGGTTCGTAGCGGCTTTGGCGGCTCGCACGACTCGTGCGGCTTGTGCGACTTTTGCGGCTGTTCCGGGCGTCCTCGCTCTCGCGGACCAGTGCCGCCGTCTTCAACATGGGCTCGTACCTAAGCTGCTTCATGGCGATATATGCAATTCGTGTGAAATGCACTTTCCAAAATATAAATAAAAATTCTTCTACTCTCGACTGTTTGGGAATGGAAATTTGAAATGGGTGTTTGTTCAATAGCCGACACCGTTGCCAGGCGGCTGATTTGTGTCGCACAGCCTGCTAGCTTTCAACAGGATGGGTTGTGCCCGCACTTCTTTCGGGGTTGTGTTCTCGGCTGAAGTCCCTAAAGCTTTTCACATGAGCTTCGTTCCATTGTTCTAGCCTTGGACGAACAGCTTTTACAAGTCCCCATTAGAATAGATATGCAGCTGTAGTGCGAAGCTTTCGGAAATAATAACAATTCACAAGCACTACAATACCTGTTAAGCAATAAAGCTTTTTCAAGCTCAAAGTTTTAAGTGCGACAGCTTAAAGCTTTAAACAAACACAAGCAGCGAACATGAAAATATTATATTTCGCAATAGGGAATAGTTTGGAATATCGGTAGAGCATATTTTACTCTTACTTTTACTCAATAACAATAGTAGAATATTCCACTCGCACAAAACTAATATATCCTTGTAGCCTTTGGCGAGGCCCTTAGCTTCTGATTGTTCTATTATATTATTATTCTATTCATAGTAGATTTTGGCAAGCAACAGCTTAAAGCTCTCAACGGGTGTGGATATATTCTGTAAATGAATTCAAGTCGAAGTAGCTTTGCGTGCTTTTAGTGGATGTAAGAACCGTGCAGCTTTGAAGCTTCTGTAAGTCCTTCCAAAGTTGCTACAAATGACTTGCGAATCAGTTGTAAGTCGAATTGGGGTTTAACATTTTATTAAACAGCTGCTCAACTTATGTAGGAATATAATTGTACGGTGAATTGTGGGGCGAATGAATTATACTATATATGTATATATATGAATTATACTATATATATATACTATATATACATATATATAAAGTTTCAGTTATGTTTCCTATTTCTACTTGGGTTCGCGACGCTCCTGGCGTCGCTGGATCAAAAAGCGATGGTAGTTGTTGTAGTATCTGTGCTTTAGCTTGGCCAGATTAAAGCGCACCAGACTCTCGTGTATCTTCTTCTTGAACAGGACGAAGCTACTCCAGAACCAAAAGTAGATGGTGATCCAAATGGTCGCAATGCGGCGAGACTGCAAATATTGAGATACATATATCCAGTTCGCTAGCCAATTGGATCCGCACTCACCAGTTGGAGCTTGTTTTTAACCGCCCTCTGCCTCTTATTCTTCTTCGGCTTTTGTTTCTTTGGAGCTACGGAGGTTGATGGCGGCTCCTTGGAAGACATAGTGTTGTCGACGCTATCGCTCGAAGACTTTGGATTCTTCTTTTTCTTTTTGTTCTTCGACTGCTTCGGCTTGTTACGATTTTCGACGGAATCAGACTTAGCCATTGCTCGATTTGATATGGAAACAGTTAAGATGTTAGTGCAAATGAATTTTAAAACACAAAAAGCAAGGCACACTGCACACAGATGCCATCTACTTGTATTTGAAGACTCGCCTGCTAGTGTTGCAAAAGAATATGAAGCCATTTGTTCATCAATTTAATCGGCTTATGAGCCTTGACTAACATTGGGTGGGAATTGAATTATCAAACGTTAGAACTGTCCAACCCTTAGCCGGGCTTAGGCAATCAGTACACAACAACAGCTGCCAAATAATTGTTCGTATTTCCACAAAGCCGTACTTTCCAAGCCAATATTGTTTACTTATTTATGCCACTATTTATATTTAAAATATACATTTATTCGTTTATTTAAATGTGCACGTTTTTAAGCATTTGAGTAAAGCCGGAATCAAAAACAGACAAAGTCTGAGCTAGACTTGGGACGGAGCACAGTATTTCCGCAAAAGATGTGGCCATCATTTCCCTCACAGCTTCGTCATCTCAATATTGTATATGTCCAAATTTTTTTAAACCTTTTTTCCAGTTCTTGAACACACAAATTCCTGGATCAACAGCAGTACGTATGTAGTTATATATTTCAAAATCATTCAAAATTTTTTGCATTATTAGTGTCCAATAATTAACAAAAGTCGTGTTGACTATTTTTTTTATTCATTAGTTGTTAATTTTTGTTCGTGTTATATTCGTGTTTTTTCGTGTTTGCTCGTGCGTGTTTTGTCGTGCCTTTTTAGCTCAACACGAACACGCACGAAATCGGAATTTGCAACACGAACACGCGGACACACGCGTGGCACGAAGTGCCACGACCGATAACACGGCCCATACCCAACTCTAGTTTAAGGGAGTCTCCAGTGCGATGAAACGCTAATCTGAATTTAGTTCCAGCAATCTTGCAAAAATGATGTAGAAAAACGATGCGCGTTCCGTAATTTCAATCGGAACGTCTCTTAATTATTTTGTTCCCACTCCAAATAAAAAAAGTCTATAAAAATATTTTAATCATATATATAATTGTGAATTGTGTCTATGTGTGCACAGTACAGAGTTAAACCAATGATGAATTTAGTTCAGGGGGGGCCAAGATTTTGTTGGCCGATTTTTTACTATCAAATTATTTCCACTATACAAAAAACACATGAAAAATATGGAAAAAATACTGAAAAAAGAAATTCTAAATAATGAAAATTTGAAATTTCAAATGCAATAAAATGTAAAAAAACTTGCTAAAAAATAAGAAGATTTGTGATCGTGGAACTAATATAAATTTGGTCCCATGCGACATGGAGGGTGTAAAATTTAACAATTTGAAATTATGTTTTCTTACATAAATGATAAATTTGTATTTACTCGTATATACACGTGAACATACTTTAAAATGATTGAAATCTAAATGAATAACACCGGCTGCGGAAAAAATAAAGTGGCCTTCAAACGGGGAGAAAAATATGTAATTTTTCTAATGGGTGCTGCTCTCAGTTTGAAAATCACTTTATAGTATCAACTCTAGTTAATTTTCTAAGAAGAATTCGTATGCTTCTCAGTTGAATAGAATTTTTTTACAAGCTTAAATGGAATGGGAGCCGTATCTGGGGTCGGGGCAGTTATCAAAAGAACGTTATGGCAGATAAAGAAATCTAAAATCATTTTGTTTCGACAGTTCAGAACTGAAACTGCATTTTCTGAACTGTTATACCAAAACAACCAAACTGCCCGCCTTGCACCCCCCTCGCTACGGCCATGGGCAGAACATGGACAGAGATTGCATCTAACTTCCTTTACAATTTAAGTGACACTTCCCATCAGCACTAGACAATATGTAATTGTCAAATTTGCATAAACGATTCCTAGATTTGCGTAAACGGTTCCAAGAACTACGGGGGCTATGGAACTTTCATAAATTGCGATTAAATAAGAAGGGCTTAGAGGAATGTTAAGCAATGAGAAGAAAAACTAGACTTAAATAGTTTCGCTAATAAATTTTCTTAGGCATAATCGATTTTCATTTCATGTGCTTATACATTCGTAAATTCTACTCTCGCTCTACTTTACATTTGAAATTCTATCATACAAATACATACAAACTGTGTGGTAAAATATTAAATGAGCGCAATCATATAACTATAATACTTTAATTGATCATTATTAAATCGTATATCAGTCATATCGCATTGTCGCTTATATATTCCTTAAGCTGATTGCCAATATAAGATTTTAAATGATGGAAGGAAGATTCAGACACGAACGTTGTGAATTCCCAAATATTTATTTTAAAATACAATTATTAAAAATATTCAGACCTTTTTAAATTGGTTCTGCATGGAAAAAAACCTGTGTGTGAATGATAATTTTGTTCAGATAACTTTTTGTCATAAACTTTCGTCTTGTAAAATATATGTGAGGTACATTTTATCCAGTTTGGTTGGATGGACTCGCCATTATTGCATAGATAAGTACAAAATGCGGAATTCAAGTTCGATTTTATAGTTAGAAGAACAAGAAAAACAGTTGAAAGCAATCGCAATATTTGCGTAAAATAAAGCCACACGAACAATGAAAACAACTGCTGTATCTCCTTTTGTTGTTCTTGTTGACCTCGCCACTCAACCGCCCCCAACAGTGAAATAATGTGTGGGAATCAAAATGTAAAATTGAATCACAAGTGAAAGAAATGTAGCAAAAGAGGTGAGTAAACAAACAGCTGAAGGTGGAGTCGAGGAGCTGCAGGTAGAGAAGTGACAAAAGCAACAGCAAACTACAGACAAATAAACAAACAACAGACAAGTTCCCACACGCAAACAAGCCCAGAAACACACACATTCACAGGAGTACTATAAGGAAGGAGCTGCCACACTTCAGACTTCGAGGTGAGAGTGACACTCAAATAAGGCAACTGCTTAAAGGCTCTTCTCCTCTTGTGTAAGAATGCAGCAGGAAGCGATGAAAACAGATTGTCTGTTAACTAGAATACGGACATGGCTATATCGACTCCAGGCTAGTACCCATTGGGCAACAGAATAATTTTTCTCAATTAATACGATCACATAATTGTCGACTATTATATTCTGCTGTATTAGTGTTGAGCCGGAAAATTATATTCCTTTCATGAATACGAACAAAATAGAAATAAATAAATAAGAGTTTTGGTGCCTTTATTTATTTTTCGCATTAATGGCTCATCCAATAATTAATGCTTGTAAACAGCAGGGGAAAGCGGCCTTAGAAGATCAGTTAAGTTTACTTTTTTAAGATATACTCGTAAATAGCTTTAATTCTGGATGCATCGCCGTGGTGGTATACAAAAATGAAGAATTAGAATTACGCTAAATGCCAAACAGCAGAGGAAAGCGGCCTTGGAAAATCAGTTAAGTTAACTTTTTTAAGATATACTCGTAAATAGCTTTAAAGGTGTTATAAAAAATGGAAATTTTGAAACAAATTGTTCGATTCATAGTCCAAATCTTCGTACGTAGAGTAGAAAGCAGTTCCATTTTGGAATAGACCTATGTATTTATATTGAACTAAATGGCGCGAAATGCTGCTACGTATTTCATCAAATCGTATGCCTTTTCACTTGCGATTTTTGGTATTTTCAAGGAATTTTCACCTTACAATATCGAACAATGGAGCCGACATCGATTTCAAAGATTGCATACAATATGTATTTATATTTGTTGGGCTGTGTGTGTGTGTTTAGGACATGTTGTTGTCGCAAGGAATTCGGCAAGTTGGCTCTTACAAGGGCAATGGGGTGGCTAGAGCATAACCATTGGCATGGGCATGGAGGCGTGGGTTAGGGCGTAGGTTAGGGTGTGGGCGTGGGCGTGGGCGTGTACCGCATGCACAAAGTACTTAAGTGAAAGAGGCAAGTTTTCAAAAATTGTGCGCATATTAAAATTCTTGGCAAAAGCTTTTGACATAAATTAAAACTTTTGTGAACGTACGCACAGCACAGCACAGCACAGACACAATCATACGAATTCACACACACACACACACACACACACACACACACACACGCACATACATGCACACTCAAGCAGATATGCGAAAATATGCTGTAAAGGTGCTGCAGCATATGTGAGTGAAAGCACGGTGGGTGGGGGAGGGGGAGGGGCTTATGTGCCTGAACAGGTTGAGTGCAGGCGCTGGGAATAAAGGAATGAAAGGGGGAGTGGCAGGGGAGGTATACGCGTAGCAGCAACTGCAGGCTGCACTTCACAGTGCCATTGAAAAGCCTCGCCGTTGTGATGCCGCTGAAAGGTGGCACGATCAATGCTAATGCATTGTTGGCCAGACCATGCTTCTATTCCTTAAACGCCGGGCCACGTGCAGCAACTCCAGGCATTTATATTGAACAAACTTATGATGTGGCCCAATCGCCATGCTCGCAGCCTGCTGGCAGTTCTTTGACAGTTTCGGCAGGCATTACATTACGGTCTATCTATGCGCTAATTGATTGAAGTTTTCCCAACCAGTTGGCCAATATGTATGGACTTTTGTTTTACACGCTGCTGACACATTCGAAGGCTGATTAAAAAGTTTTTTAATTAATTCCCATGCCAAAAAATGGCGAACAGAACGAGCCAGTCAAGTCTATAGGTGGTGCATGCAGAGGGACGCCATCAACGTCACCATTACCATTACCATTACCATCAGCATCAGCGTGGAATCTAGTACACTTAACAAAATTTCTTAACCCTAACCACTTTCTGCTTAATTTTAATTAATTAGGGAAAAGTTCACACATCTGACAGAGGCTTGATTCACGCAACAACCTTCTCAAACCCATCCGACTGTAACATCATGTAATTTGATTCAATCCGATAATATTTTTATTTTTTTTAAGCCTTAGGCCTTACCCATGCCTTAAGATGCTTTATCTATGTATGTATATTACATTTTATAAAACAAAATATTTTATGGTCTATGTAAATACCTGTTATATGTACATATATCTGTTCTTTTTTACTTTATCCCATACATTTCAGATATGGTTATTATTATAGACGTAATATATTACATTGCGC